AAATACTTAATGCTTAATAATTGTAACCAACATTTAACATCACCTGTATGTAGGGGAAAATGTCGCCGCCAATGACCATAGTTTCTCAGTATTCTCGTTGCACAAGCGTACGCCTAAATAATTGTTTGTTTTATAATGTATTCACAATAGTGGAAACACAATTTGAAGGCCGCAGTGATCAGCATTTCTAAATATTATACTTCTGGAATTTTGGTTAGAACGAGGTCCATGTGGGTATCGCGCTCGAGATTTACTGGGAATTGCTGTTGAAACCACATATGTGAAAACGCCCACAAAATGTAATAACAACCAAAAACGTCAACAACAGCGCCCACATATGTAATAATGCCAAAGAATATAGATAGAGGAAGAACGAGCAGCGAGCCCAAAATAGTGGAATCAACCGAATTGCATGATGGGAGGCCAGTGGAGTAGGGTGCCGTTTATCGGTGGGGTGTATAAAACCTTGTCTAGAGTAGGTTAGGCATAGAGAGTTCGACGTTTTTAGGTAATTATTAATTATTCTACAGTAGGTCTATCTAACATATAGCTTAAACATACTTAATAATTGGATAGGCTAAGCAGCCCCTAGCTTTCAAATAAAAAAAGAAACATTACAGTGTACACAGTTGTTATATACACTGTAAAAATAGCGTGGAGCATTTAAACACAAAGCTACATGCAATGTTGTCTCGTTTTTGGTGACACGTTTAAAAGGCCTAATGTGTTTAGGTTTCCGACGTGTTTAGCATTAGATGTGCTTAGGAATTTGACATCATGATGTCAAATACCTAAGCACATTTAATGCTAACCACGTCAAGATCCTAAATACATTAAACACGTTCAGCTTTTAAGCGTGTCACCAAAATGCTCCACGCTGTTTTTACAGTGTACTAGAGGTCTACTATACCATGAAGGTATAAATTTTACCTCCATGCTAATAAAAGGCCAGGGCCCAGGCATGCCCAGCAAGGCGACTTTTGTTAGTTAAACTAGGCACGCCTATTGATTAATTAATCATTATTAATTTTATTTTAATGATTATTATTATCTGATTATGAAAGCAAAAAGGAAAATAAATGTTTATTTGAATTTGCAATTTGAATTTCATTATTAATGTTATTGTTTACACATCATTATTACCATCATCATCAATTTAATATTATTGTTGTTATTATTATTATTACTTATATTATTACAACAACTTGGGCCTATTATTGATAACTGTAGTTTTTATTATTATTATTATTATTATTATTATTATTATTATTATTATTATTATTATTATTATTATTATTATTATTATTTATAACATTTAACATTTTTCCAACCTGGAGATCAATAAGTATGATATGTATTATTACAAAAATATAGGCCCTTTATTAATAATCGTAATTATTATTATTTAAAAAAAATAAAAAAAATTTTTCCCCAACCTGTTTAGGATCAACAAGTCATTATGATCACATACTACCGTACCACATTTACAGTGAAATAATGGGCTCTATTTGAGTATTATTATACGACGTATCTATTTTACACTAAAAAATATACGCCGCAGCTGGGGCAGCTATACAGGATTTGGCCGTTGGGGGTGCGTGAGAGTCGACACACCTCAGCCCCACCATGGTCGGGGCTGAGGTGCAAAACTAGTGTGAAATATAGACCTGTAGGTACCCGGAAATTTCACTCTCATATCTAAAAATTCCTTACCAGTAATTCATATTAACAAAAAAAAAAAAAAAAAAAAAAAATATTTTTCGTGATACACTTTAGACGGTGCGATCACACCGTCTGCAGACTCCCCCCTCCTCTATCCACTCCAGTGCAGTACTGTACTGTATTATTTTTCTCCCTGTATGAATGTATTTTAATAATTATACAGTATCATGTACGAAACTACTACGATAAAATAGACCGCTATTCTGTTATAAATAGGCCTATATGCAAATTCATTATCGATAAACGTATATAGGCCTACGTTAATAAACAAGCCATTATGAAATAAATAAATTTCAATCAAAAGCAGATCGTGTAATGTTATTAGATAATAGGGCATAGTTTACATAAGAATATCTATAGGCCTATTCTTTGATAATGCCTACAAATATAACAACCAGTGCCCACAAATGTAACAAATAGCTCCCACAAATGTAATAACCACCATCACCCACAAATGTATTAACACCACAAATGTACAACAAAACATAACCTCTTCGCCCATAAATGTAATAATTTTCTTTTAATTTCGGATGTAGGAGCTAAGACCCAAATACACGGCCAAACCGTGCATTATGTGACAGAAGTATGACACTTTCAGCGTTTACAAATGGGAACATATGGGATAGCCCTTTTCTAAACAACTTTGAGGGGTTAGAGGTCAAATGAAGATTCTGATAATAAATCATTATGCTCATTATGCATGCTGTAAAAATAGGGTTTTGTTTAAATTTGATGGAGAAGCTTTCCAGATGTGACAGTTGTCATGTTATTTCAGGTCAAAAAAGTCAAAAACTGAAAAAAAAAAACAAAAAAAAACAAAAAAAAAAAACATGATATGGTATGTGTTAAGCATTTTTTTAAATTCTCTCTTGTTCATGACATTTAGTTTTACACGAATAAGCTCGAAACTCTAAAATAGCCACTTTTCAATAACCATAGCATTATTTAGCATGGAAGGAATAACCAAATGTGTTAAAAAAACTTTTTGAGAACTTCGACGAAAGTGCATTCCAGAAACTATACCTCAATTACATGCCCTATAATTTGTAAATTAGCTAGTTTGCAAATTTAAGACCAGCTTCGGGACGATATAAATTGTGTACTTTCAATTTTCAATTTTTTAGCCTTAGTTTTTCAACATCAATATGACAGGCCTTGTTTTTAAAAAATGAGGGAATGCAGTAGCATGGTTAAACAAATTGCACCCCGGGTAATTACCTTACCACCAGTATTTTCAACAGAATGACATTCCCCTGAGCCTGTTCCCCTGATCTGCATCGCATCTCTAACTCCCCACATAATCCTTTAACCCCATCAGTTTTCCCCTCTCCATGTCATTACAGTCTGCCCTGCAATTCGAGACCCCTCTAATTCGCAGACCCCTCTAATTCCAGACTTCTTTTTCAAAGTACTAACTGACCACATATCTATTAACACTGAGCTTAACCTCTAATTATGAGACCCCTCTAATTCGAGACCGTGACCACCTTTATGGACGGACCAAGTGACAAAATGACCTCCAATTCAAGACCACATTTAAAAATAAAATAAAACAGATTTAAGATTTTTTTAAACAATAAATACTCTTTAATTTGAAAAATTGAGTTTCAAAAATATAACAGATGTATTTTCATAAATATATACCCATATAAACAGAGGTTTCTTAAGTGTATTATCTTTGAAAAAGCTATTTTGTTTTAAAAGTTAGTTTTAGGCCACTTGCTGTCATAAAATATTCAGTAAATGTTTTACAACAATCTGTTGACACCTATTGCCAAAAAGTGCTGTTGAATCAGCTACTTATCCATAATGTCGATAGAGTCCTATGTTTCTGATTTCTTCTTTAGACATTCAATTGCTGCACTATCCCCCGGCCCCGTAGCCGGGGGAGGGGATGTTTGGTCCCCTGTTAAAATCAAAGATATGTAAATAATTAAAACTAAAAGCAAACATTATTATTTTATAGTAACAAAAACAATTATTAGGGGAAAATATTGAGGAAATTTGGTGAAGATGAAACACCTGACATGTGGTGTCATCCAAAGATTTGTAAGGAGAGTGTCCCTGTCGGTTTTCGCTTTGATTTGAAAAGAAGTGGATCCGGCTACGTAGCCAAAAGAGTGGGGGAGTGGGGCAGGGCCATTCAATTTCAGCTCCAACAATGGCATTACTGATGTGTGTTTTAAACAGCTTCAAGTTGAAAAAAAAAAATTAAAGCAAATAAAAATTTCTTTGAAATAAATAATATCTATTTCAAAGAAATTTTTATATTTATTAAAAAAAATATATATATTATATGATTTTCCCATGTTGTCTTTTGGAGACCACTTTTATCTTCGGTCTTCATTTAGAGGTTTCAGGTTCTGTTACCCTCCAATTATGCTGCTTGCAGACCACTTCAAGCCTGTTAAAGGTTTTAAATTTGAGACCGAACCAAGAGACCACCCCAAATTTCAGATACACAGAGTGGTCTGGAATTGGAGGGCGGACTGCACTCTACGCCATTAAGTACAGTGAGCTACATTCTTCAGTGGCGTATCCAGTGGGTTCTCGGCGTGCCTCAGCATCCCCTTCATAGGTTTGGAAAAACAATTGGCAAGAATACTGCAGTTGCGCGGTTGAGACATCAAAACACTCCTGAAGTCTTATTAGAAAACTACTGTAGGTGATACTTTCGTACCTATGGACTAATACTAGAAGCACAGACAGGAGGACGCGTAATTACAGTCGATGTTTTTCGACTGCAAAACAAAAACGCCGCGGGCAAATAAACAAGCGCGTACAATTAGTCCACCATACGGTGGCAGATTTAAGGAGAAAGCCGACCCGGACCACCCCCCCCCCCACTCCACACCCAAATTTTCAAGATTATAAAACAAAATGGAGAAAAAACTATATTCAAATTAAAAAATTTAGTGATATACCGTCCAGTTTTTATTTTTATTTATTTATTTTTATTTTATTTTAAGGGATTCTTTTGGAACATTAACTTTACCTGGAATTAACGATGCAAACAAAGTGGCTCTTCCAGTGTTCTGAATACGTAGTTCATGCTTCAAAAACGAATATTATTATACTGCAATTTGTTATAGATAGATATTATTAATTATGACCAGCCACCCAGTTTTTCTTCTATATAATTAGTACATTTGATTAACTCAACAAGTCTTTTAGTGGGTTTACCTTAAATTTATAATTACTGTATTTTCTGTCAAACTGAATATGAACTTATCCCCTGATAAAGCCAACTAATGAACAATAAAATCATCACTTCTTTCTTTTTTTCTAGATTTAGTATGTTATTTTTTAATCAAAATTGGAACGATAAAATGTACTATACATACATATATAATTAGATAATTAGTACATTTAATTACCTTAACAAGTCTTTTAGTAATTTTACCTTTTATATTTATTTCCTATCATTGACATACAGCAAATGAACTCAACAAGTCTTTTAGTGGGTTTACCTTTTATAATTACTGTATTTTCTGTCAAACTGAATATGAACTTATCCCCTGATAAAGCCAACTAATGAACAATAAAATCATCACTTCTTTCTTTTTTTCTAGATTTAGTATGTTATTTTTTAATCAAAATTGGAACGATAAAATGTACTATATATACATATATAATTAGATAATTTGTACATTTGATTACCTTAACAAGTCTTTTAGTAATTTTACCTTTTATATTTATTTCCTATCAAACATACAGCAAATGAACTCATCCCCTGTTAAGCAAAAAAAAAAAAACTCTTCAAGGTCTTGGTCCTTATAATAAATCCAATCCAGTCTACGTGTGGATTTGGTTTTATTCAATAATAATAATAATAATAATAATAATAATAATAATAATAATAATAATAATAATAATAATAACAATAATAATAATAATAACAATAATAATAATAATAATAATAATAATAATAATAATGTCAGCGCTGAAATAAACGCACACATTTCAAAATCATCAAAAGCAAACAAAATCAAATCAATATTTTAAATCTGACAAGACTAAACTAATTAAATAGTATTCAAAATATAAACATACATTAATATTTATTAAATTACTAACTTAAATACTAACAATAATAATTAATATAAATATGCATATAAGTTATAATTACAGTCGTTTATTGGTACTTTGGAAGGAAATGTAATATTAAATTTGGGTTGAATCTAAATTTGAGGATTTGTCAAAGGCCTAAACATTACATTTCAACCGTTGTAATGTGGTAGGTGTAAGCTGATTATGCCCTTGAAAACAGTTCTTGTGAAATTATCAAAACTTTGAGACAGCATAACAATTTTGATGGCAGAGACAATAACGATTTAAACACGGCTAACGAAATAGAATTATAACGTTATGCACGTAATTCCGTTGGGGAAATTGCTAAGTCTGTCTAACCAAAGAGGTAAAATACTTCATTGGCTAATCTCAGTACGGTGAGGTAAGAACTTTCGAAAAAATAAAGGGCGGGGCCGGTCCTCACACCCCATCCCCCTAAATCTTCCCATGCCATTAGACTTCTGTTCTTTTTATTAAAATACAGTTCAGTATGTAGATTTCGGGCGTTTTGTTTGATCAGGTGACTTAGATATTGCAACCGAACCATCCAAGGCTCGTTGAACGCGGGAAGCCAGGTAAGACTGACCATGGAGCTATATCGAGTTCTGGTAGGCCTAAAGGATTGATCTCGTAGTAGTTACCGTCTGCTCCGAATAATATGTACGTAATATCGTCTGCACCACTGAGGGCAGCAGTAGCTTGGCTATTAAAGCCCTGGAAACTATCGGTCTGAAATGGTCCGATTTGTTGATATGGTGTCTCCAAATAATAATTAGTACCTTCGGAAAGAAAAAAGAAAATCAAACATAAAGATTGCTTTTATAATAATAAATTTTATGGACAATGTCTTTTCTACGGAAGCCCGTTAGTGGCACCAGTGAATTAATATTTAAGACGCGTTAAATGGCGGCCGCCACTTAATTATGTACCGGCGATTTTTTTTTCCCGTACGAAACATTTACATGAAACTCCACTCGGGCCGTCTCGTCTGAATCGACCCGAAAATCTCATTGCAGAATTCAGGATGTCAAAAGGTCATCAAAAGATAAACGTCTACAAATCAACTTCTGAGAGAACGTCGCTGTCTAATTTTTTTAATACATTGATGTTACCATGTAATACCAATGGGTCGTTTAAAATGACATATTTGATTAAGCTGCACGAGTAATGAAAGTGTTATTTTAACTTGAGTTACATACTATGACAATTTAATTTTTTAATTAGGCCTGGGTTTTGCATAATTACCTAGGCCTACTAAGTACTAAAAATGCTTTCTGGGAAAAGCACAAAGAGTAAGGAAAAGCGCGTTTTTCTTCATCAAATGAAACAGGGTGACAGTTATTTTCAAGAGAAGAGCTGAGAATAGGCAGCTCTAAAATACTGGATGCAATAAGACCTGCCAAAATGGCAGAGCACCAAAATGTAAAAATGAGCTAGTTATTAATATTAGGCATAGTAATCGGCAGGTTCTTGACTACAAGGCTAGACCAAGTTAATTATTATTACCTGTACGTTAAGGGGAACTTAGACAATGGAGGAATTATAGAGAACAATTTAAAAAACGACGTTAAGGGGAAATAACACAAAAGATATTCCCCTTGGGCTATTTATTATTTATAGGCCTAGTAAATAGTATCTGTGGGTTCTTCATTACAAGCCTTGGGCCAAGGTAATTAATGCTGAAATAATAATAATAATAATAATAATATTTATTATTATTATTATTATTATTATTATTATTATTATTATTATTACCTGTACCTTAAGGGGAACTTAGACAATGGAGGAATTAGAGAACAATTAAAAAAACGACGACGACGAGTTTGGATTATAGGCCTATAGTATACTGTAGGTTCTTCTTGATTACAAGGCTTAGACTAAGTTAATTAATGGCGAAATTATATATCGTTATTTAATTATTATTTTATTATTATTGTTATTAATATTATTATTGTTATTATTATTATTATTATTATTATTATTATTATTATTATTATTGTTATTATTATTATTATTTAATATTAATTACATTACAAGGCTTAGGCCAAGTTAATTAATGTTGGAGTGATGTATTTAATGTATTATATTTAATATTTTTTTTACTCACTGTCCCATTTTAATTTCATGTTTTAAATTTTTTTTCAAAATTTCAGTCAATGGCATGCGAAGCGTGACTGTTGTGTCAGGCCTAGGAACCTAGGTGCCTAGTCTGGTGTGGGGGTAGGGGAGGCTAGCAGGTAGGACCTAACTCAGCTTGTAACTAGGCCCACTAGTTCAGCCTCTCTTGCTCTAGCCTTAATTGATAGGAATGTACCTATTTACTACTGGTACTATTAGGACCAATCCTAGTGGCGCGCGCGAAGGAGGTACTGTTGTTGTTGTAGGTAGTATTACATTTGATAACAAACATACAAGAAGATCACAGTTAGTTACAGACGTAGCCTGTAACTAAGATTTCATAGGCCCACCGTAGGTAAATATATAAAGAACAATACAATAAAGGTAATAGAATACTCGAGCGTCACGACATTGCGAGGTGCCTGCTCTTGTTCGTATCAAACTCGAGTCGAATCAATCCGAGACGGCCCGAGTGGAGTTTCATGCAAATGTTTCGTACGGAAAAAAAAATCGCGTGCCGGCCGCCACATACAGTAATCATCTGCCAGCCGCCACTTATTTATGTAGTACCCAGGTTGCGGTATAGCCTTACTCGATGCAGAACGCGCCACTAAAGCGCAGGATTGGCCCTAATATTACATAGCAATTAATAGCATCGTTGTGCCTGGTTACTAGCTACAACTTGTAGTCTTATAAAGCATTCATATAACACCCATTTCACAAAACATAGCAATATCGTTGCTGCACTTTAACTATTTTGTATGTGCTATATTTGTTGTTTAATCATAGTGATATTGTCTGATATAGCTGGGTTAAGCATTAAAAGGCATTAAAAAAAAAAGTAAAAGCATACTAGTAGCTGGTCACGCTGTAGCTGACAATAGCATTCATATAACACCCATTTCGCAAAATATAGCAATCACTGGGTTAAGCATTAAATAGCGATTAAAAGCATGTTAGTAGCTGTCACAGTAGCTAGCTACTGTGACAGCAGTAATATATAGCAGTCATACAGCACCCATTTCACAAAATGATGATGTGCTTAACGCTAACGCCTATCGTCGCAAACGCCTATTCATTGCTCCAACCCTAGCCCAAAAATAACTTCAACAGTTTAAACTTGATTATTCATCAATCAATGTTATTATTATTATTATTATTATTATTATTATTATTATTATTATTATTATTATTATTATTATTATTATTATTATTATTATTATTATTATTATTCGAACATAGTATTCCAAAGTGACCGAAAATGCTGCATAGAAAAAATGCAAGAATAGCAGCTACAGCACTATCTCGAACATTGTATAGCCAAAACAGCAGTTAAAGCATTTTGACAGCTACTAACACATGATTTTAATCGCTATTTAATGCTTAACCCAGTGATTGCTTGTGAAATGGGTGCTGTATAACTGCTATTATAAGCTATTACAAGCTGTTGCTAATGACCAGCTACTACGATGCTTTTAAATTTTATTTAATGCTAGGACCAATCCTGCGCTTTAGTGGCCCGTTCTGCATCAACCTGGGTACGGTACTACATAATTACAGTGGCTGCCGCCAGATATGGCGCCATTTAACGGCTCTTAAATATTAATTCACTGGTGGCGCTAACGAGCTTTCGTACTTTTCCTCTTTTTCTGATTATTATTCATTTAAATTTATATAGCCCTAACTAATAGAGTAACCCCGAATAGAAGGCATGGGCTTCTTCACTGGTGGCGCTAACGAGCTTCCGTACTTTTCCTCTTTTTCTGATTATTATTCATTTCAATTTATATAGCCCTAACTAATAGAGTAACAACCTCGAATAGAAGGCATGGGCTTCTTTTTTTTTCTTTCTTTTTTGCGGCCTCTGGGTGGGCTTCTTCTTTTCGATGCTACTTTGGCAAAGTGAAGAGGGGGGCTTCTTTTAATAAAGAATGCTGTAAATTTTGGGAATTACTACTATAATACAATACTATAGTAAAATAAATAGGGCCACTGTAACATCAGTTTGTAACATGAAGTAGGCCTATATTAACGGGCATTAAATCACCATACTATAAACCAAACGTGTTTTTAGTTGTTGTTTTTTGAAATTCATGTACAGTGTGTACTATACTATCTCGTAAAGAAGCCCCTGCTATCTTGAGAAGAAGCCCATGGGCTTTTTTCGAGGATAATTTTTGCAAACTAAAGAGGGGGTTCCAATTCGAATTCCCATTGGGCTTCTATTTAAGGTTTTAAGTAAGGGCATATTGTTGGCAGCTTTAATAAATATGTAAATTAAGATAAATACCGCCAATAAAATAGACACCTCGTAATCCACCAATAGTATAAGCAGCATCCACATGCGGCAAAGAAACTCCAAACTCTAACTCTAAAGATTTAGGGTAACCGACTTCTGGACTGTATCCTGAATACCGCCACACTTGTGTACCCTGAAAAAATTTAATGAAACATGTAGGTCTACACAAAACTTATCACAGAAAAAATGCAATGGTTCTGGGTGGGCCTGTTTTTCCCTAGCCAATGTTTATTGTTCATCAAAATCAACGAGTAATAATGCGAATATTGGTTTTATATCTTAGACAGAACAGAAATATTATTATTATTATTTATTTATTTAATTATCTTAACCATTCTGTTAACATAATATTTGGTGGTCATTACTGAATTAAGTTATAGCTTTATTTAAAACCAATAAAAATTTGTTACATTATTGTCCGCCTTGAAAAAGTAGGTCTTTCCGGCCTTATTTCCCCAGTCAACCATATGTTCCGGCATGGTCATAGCCGAGTCAATATTGGCCGGTAAACCAGAGAAAACTGTAGATACTTGAACAGGATGACCTGGTACTAACTGATTGTCCACAATCTTCCATAACTTATCACCTAAAAATACGGAGGTACAGTGTTCATAAACAAGCATGCATTTCACAATGAGAAAATAGGAATATATTGACAACAAAAAAGTACAGGTCTCCCTCCAAATAGACTACTTTTGGGACCGGCGTTTTCATGGTCTTAAGCAGCTTTGTCTGTAATTAGAATAATAAAAGATAAAAGATAATAAAGATAGATAAAAGACATTTGTTAATTTGGGACCGCAGAAAAGTGATCTTTAATTGGAGGTGGCCTTTAGCTCATTCGAGTGACCAAGCTCGTGCAGAAGAGTCAAGATGTGTATAAGAGACAGCCTCCATCCTCATCATGATCATCAGCTATCATCATCGTTGTATTTTTCATCATTATTAACATCTTATAATCATCACTTTATTATCAACATCTTTATGATGGTGATGATGATTATGATGATGATGATGATAATGATGATCATTAATATTAGTGTACACGTATTTATCATTCAAATCCTGTTCAAATGGTATAAAACCAGATCATTATGTTTAAATACCTTTTATTAAAATGATTTCGCCCGTAAGCATCTGGGTTGCAGCATCAATGGATGTTGGACAGTTGGAATCATCCGATTCGCCTTTTGGTTGTGAGGACGTGGTCGTCTTAGGTGTAACTACAACAGGTACTTGCGTAGCTGGTTTAGGACTTACATAAGCTGGCTCACCTTTGGGTGCACCTAAATGCAAGTAAATGATAACAATATTTCTATTATTTATTTATTATTGTTATTATTATTATTATTATTATTATTATTATTATTATCATTATTATCATTATTATTATTATTAATATTATTATTATTAATATTATCAGTACAGGTATTATAATTTCATTGTGATTATAAGGCCACTGGTATTGTCATAATAATAATAATAATAATAATAATAATAATAATAATAATAATAATAATAATAATAATAATAATAATAATAATAATGAGGTGTCAATTTTAGTATTGTGTTTCATTTTCGTTAGATTAAAATTATAGGTACAGTAGAAGCAGAACTTACCATAGAGCTTTCTTGCTGCAGCTTTATCATTTTCACTCAATGTTGAAGTGGATTCTGAACTAAACATCGCATCGTTCCTGTTAGTCGAATGAGCTATACCAATCGAGTGACCAAGCTCGTGCAGAAGAGTCACCCGCAGATCGTGACCTGTAAGCAGAGGGCATAATAATTTAACATCATCAAGCTTGGCCTCTGATAATTCTATTCCCCTTGTTAAATTAGTTATATCGCTTCCGCTGAAATACCGTAAATTCAATTCCCGTGAATATGGGGTGCCATACGCAACAAAAGTCAATGTTAGAATCAAAATGTAACTGCAAAATTCAATGTCTAATTTATTAAAACGTTCTAATTTTTCAAAACGTAGTTCAAATTTTTCCAAATGTAGTTCTAATTTCTTTAAAATGTAATTCAAATTCAAAACGTAGGTCTGACTTAATCAAACGCCCTCTCCAAATTATATTTCAAAACGTAAATCAAAAACCAGCCTGGTTTGAAATGCATTTTACAACAACACTAGAGAATAGGCTTTTGCTGTGTATGGCACTAGACTTGCGAAATGTAAATCAAAACTAATCAGCCAAGCATGACGTGGGCCTGTTCCATTAATGATGGGGGAATCATTTTTCGCTGCAGTAGTCCAATGCCGTGAACAACGCTTCCCAGTGCGTCTGCTAATTTTTAATGGTCAGGGTACCGCGATCACGAGCCCTATGCTTGGCATAATAGGTTAGGCTTATGTGTGCTGGGATTTGCAACAAGGTCTTGGACTAGGCCTCTATACTATAGCAGGAGGACTAGGCCTCTATACTATAGTAGGAGGCCTGGTCCTAGTCTAGGCCTATAATATAGTAAAATTCTGTATAAGTAGTCATATGGTTACAGGTTTAAATTGTACCAAGATCGATATTAACGATCGCATTTATTTTTCATTGAAAATAAAAGAAAACTTTAAATAATTTAACTTAAGGATTTTAAAATATTCCAAACCTGTACGCTTAAAAAAATAAATAAAATAAAAAATAAATAAATAAAGTTAACTTAAAACACAAACAACGCGATAGGATATACATTTTGAGAGAAGTTTTGGTATACTGTACCTTATTTCTGAAGTACCATTCGTTTTGGGGTTGCTACAATCAGGAGTTACAATCGATCCAACAAAGGAAAAGCACTATCTATTTCCTTACATTTCAAAAAGGAGGATTGGATGCTATTTAAATTTGCTGGAGATTGAAAAATTAACTCCGTTGTTAGAGAACATGGAATGGTACATGACTTTCGGACTGGTATAGGCCTTCAGTAGCCCTATGTACTCAAGGTGTAAATAAATACAGAGAATAGGCCAATTTTAGTGAGAACTAAACATGTTTTAATAACGTAGGGCCTATATACAATGCAAAGCAGATTGATCACAAAATCAGAAGCATGATTTCAAACATCAGAATCCAGCTTTTATTGTTTAAAACTGTCGGGGCCCCATTGAATGAAACTACGGTATTATAGTTTTTGTTTTTTTTAAAACTACAATGTCGGGTCCCTCGCGCCTGGCGCCCCACCTCTCCTCCGTCAGCGCCCGAGTGTGACACCACTGATTGTAACAACTGCTGATTGTAGCAACCCCAAAACGAACGGCGCTTCAGAAAATACAGTACAAGTATACAAATTATTCTCGCAAACTTCATATCCTATCGCGTTGTTTTTGTTAAGTTAATTTAATTTATTTTTATTTTTTGAAGTGTACAGTTTTTTTTTTGAATATTTTAAAAGTTAAATTTAGTTTTTTTTTTAGTTTTTTAAAATTAAATTTTGTTTTTTTTTTTGTTTTTTTTTTTTTTTTTTTTTTAATTTTCAATGAATAATAAATGTGATCTTTAATATTGACCTTGGTACAATGTAAACCTGTAATCATATGACTACTTATACAGAATTTTACTATATTATAGGCCTAGACTAGGACCAGGCCTCCTGCTATAGTATAGAGGCCTAGTCCAAGACCTTGTTGCAAATCCAAGCCCACATAAGCCTAGCCTATAATGCCTAGCATAGGGCTTGTTTTCGCGGTACCCTGACCATTAAAAATTAGCAGACGCACTGGAAGCGTTGTTCACGGCATTGGACTGCAGCGAAAAATGATTCCCCCATCACTAATGGGACAGGCCCACGTCACGCTTAGCTGACTAGTTTTGATTTACATTTCGCATGTCTTGTGTTGTTATAAAATGTATTTCGAAACAGTCATGCCTGGCTGGTTAGATGTGTATAAGAGACAGTACATAAGCTGGCTCACCTTTGGGTGCACCTAAATGCAAGTAAATGATAACAATATTTCTATTATTTATTTATTATTGTTATTATTATTATTATTATTATTATTATTATTATTATCATTATTATCATTATTATTATTATTATTATTATTATTATTATTATTA